TATGGCACCACACCCCCTCCCCCGTTCTACTACTATTGAAAGGAAACGCTACTCCATTGACATTGATACAAGATACCGACCCGTGTAAAGCTTTCTGAAATTACAAAAGACCGTGCTTTCTTTATCTCCATCCGTTGGAATTGGCTTTCCTGGCTCTCAACTACCTTCATAGCCCTCTTGGATGCCCCTCTGAATCAAAAATTTCATAAGGAACACTGCATCGACGATCAAACTCTTTGGGTGGAAAAGACTAGTAACAAACGAGGCATCATTGCAGAAATCACGAAGCTCAACAACAATGAAGGTCTTAACAAGCTTATTGTTCCTGTGGGAGTCGACAGAAAGGGGTGGCGATCTTTTTGCTCCCTCCTTTCATCTGGTCTGACCATCCACCAACCTTCTGTTCCTCTGATAACAAAGCAGAAACCAAAAGTCATTAAACCAGCTGCCTCTACTCACCCTTCTACCTCATCCTACAAAGATGCTCTGGTTCATCAAGCTCCACGTCTTTCATCTAGTGGTACACCACAGGTTATAACCCCACAAAACACAACTTTTGCCCACACTGACTTTTCTACCTCCATTATTTTTTTTTGAACAAAAAACGAACTTTTCATTGATGAAATGAAAAGGAACAAAAATTGTTCAAGGATACAAACTCGGGAAGGAGTGAAAGGAAAACATAAAAATTTAAAAGATACAAATACATAAATTGAAAACACAAAATATAGACCAAATAAACCAGCTAAACAGAACAAATAAAAGCATCCCAATTACTAAATATAAGAGAAGGGGAGTAGTGTGAGAATGGCTCGGAAAGGGAACACCAGTGAGATGCTTTGAGCTTGACAAATGAAGGGCGATCGATTAGAGATCTACGTTTACTCTTGAAAATCCGCATATTCCTCTCAAACCATATTTCCGAAAAGAAAACTTTTAATGACATTAATCCATAGAATTCGCGCCGTAGGTGACAACAGAAGCAGCATGCAAAACAGCCCTGAAAGTTGCTGCTGCATGCAAAACAACATTGGAAGTTTTAGCCGCATGAAAAAAAGCATTGGAATTTGAATCTAAAGCATGAGAACCATCATAAATGCTCTCAACCCTTTCGAAAAACACCTCTCATGCAGAACATTAAACACTTTCTCAACTCCAAAGGAGTCTATCCATATATGGCTTGTTAATTTTCCCTAACTTTCTTAGCTCTCCAAAAAAAAAAAAAAATCTGAAGGATACACACTAAGTTTCTGGTCTTGAAGAGGAGGAATCTGAAGCAAATATTTGAGCTACCTCCTTACCAAGAATTGGATCTTGCACCGTCACGTCGGCAGTGATAAAATCACATTGGTTCTTCATCACTTCAATGGAGGCATCAAAGCAATTCAACATATTGATGGCGTCTAAAGGGATACTAATAAGGCCTCCACATTTCTTTCCAATCAACTCAAAGACTTCCTTGTTCCACAAAGAAATACGCAAGTCTCTTATTTTGATCCAACCCCCATTGCTTTCAATCATTTCCCCCCTACCATGCTTTCGAGCATTCCATTTATCAATCAAAATATGAAAGCCACCCACCTTCTTCAATTGCTTCTTCTTTATTTATTCTTTTTTTTWAAAAAATTATCTTTTAAAATATATCTTGCTACTATTTTCTTCATTGTATTGGTGCCAGGGCCATGTAACATATATTCTAATTGTTAGTGCAGGTGTATCTTGGTCCAGAAATTATTTCTCATTTTCTGATGCATGGGACAAGCGTGGCAGATATTGTTAAGCATTTCATTACCACTTTAAAAAAGAAGGATAACAATATCCCTGTTATCTTTCTGGAAGCAATGAAAAGAGTAAGGATCATATACTTGTATTGGGTTTTCTTCTCTATACCAGGGACTACTTTGTGTGTATGGGGAATGTATTTAATAGTAAACAACTTGAAATAAATCTTATCAATCATTTGCTTGTCAAATATTTCAACACAATTGGTTGCAGAGTGAATCTGCCAAAGCTTAATTTTTTCAGATTTTTTGTGGCCATCCTTTTGTTCTGCAGAAATAAATTTGTGGATTAATGCTCGTACATCTTTTTTGTGGATAGTCTGGTTGAGGAATATGAGAGTTTTCAAAGATGAGAAGAAATCTATTGAGCTCCATTGGGATGACATTGTATTTTATTACTATTATTTTTTTGTCCTTTTGGACTCTCAAATCTGAAGGTTTTAGTAATTACTCACTTAGCATGCTTATAAGCTGTGTGTAACTCCTCGGGTTCTATGTTAATGAAAGCTCACCTCTAGTTTTTATAAAAAGAAAAGACGCCATTCACCCTCATACAAGCTTGGTCTCCCCTTGAATGGTAAGCTGCATACAGCATGTTTTTGGGACCCCATCTTGGAAAAATTGAGGAAGAAGCTTAGCTCTTGGGAGAACTCTCCCATTTCAAAAGGTGAGCCATTGAATGGTAAGCTGCATACAGCATGTTTTTGGGACCCCATCTTGGAAAAATTGAGGAAGAAGCTTAGCTCTTGGGAGAACTCTCCCATTTCAAAAGGTGAGCCATTGAATGGTAAGCTGCATACAGCATGTTTTTGGGACCCCATCTTGGAAAAATTGAGGAAGAAGCTTAGCTCTTGGGAGAACTCTCCCATTTCAAAAGGTGGTAGGCTCACCCTTATACAAGCTACTCTTACCAATCTCCCTATCTATTATCTATCTATCTTTTCCATACCATCCCAGGTTGCCAAAGAAATGGAGAGAATTATGAGGAACTTTCTATGGAAGGGAAACAACACACATAAGGGTGTGAACCTTGTGAGATGGGACAAGGTCACCATCCCCCTAGAGGATGGAGGGCTGGAAATTTGCAACATTAGAGACAAAAACAGAGCCCTCCTAGCTAAATGGATTTGGAGATACCATACCGAAGAAACTGCCCTATGGAGAATTGTCATTGCTGCCAAATATGGGGACAACCACTTCCATATCTCCTCTCTTTGCCCTATAGCTTCTGCTCGTGGACCTTGGGAATCTATTATCAAGCATAATCAACTTATCATGGATAGAACCATCATTAAGGTAGGGGATGGAGCTAAAACTTCCTCCTGGAAGGACAATTGGCTAGAGAATGTACCCTTGGCTGTTGCCTACCCTCTCCTCTTTGCCTTACACTCCAGCAAAAACGCTTCTGTTGAGGAATGTTGGTCGGCAGTAACAATTTCGTGGGACATACGGTTTAGAAGGAACCTCAAGGAGGCGGAAATCATTGAGCTGATATTATTTCTCCACCAATTGTCTCTCTATCGTCTTAATCAAGCCAGTGACAGACTTATATGGAGATTGGAACCATATGGAATCTTCACTACCTGCCCCCTCATTCGCGACATGGCTAATTCCCTGACCTCCCAAGCTGATGTTCTGCATTATAAATCAATTTGGAAAGACCATTACCCTAAGAAGATCAAGTTTTTTCTAATATTAATTGAGAAGGAAATGAGGGAAATGTGATGAGAGTTGGTGGCGTCTCTTCTCTCTCGGTGAAGGTGGAAAAAAAGTCTTTTCTTTTCGTTTGATTGGAAACGGTAAGGAGGTCGAGTTAGAGGAAAGTTGTAGGGGGAGAGTGTCGTTCTTAAGCCTCTCACTGCGTATGATAGCGTGGGTAAGGGACTGCTTCGAGGAGATTGGGTGTAAGGTAAATGTGGAGAAGTTCTTCAGAAGATGGAAGTCTCCGGTAGGTCTAATCTGGTTTTAGTTGGTGACTAACCCTTGAGACATATGCTGTGTAATAGTAGAAAAAGGAAACGTTTGATGTTGTGGGAATGAAAAAGGAGAGCTATAGCAGTGAGTTTGTGAAAAGCTTATGGAATGATCGTCATGTTGAGTGGGCTGGGTTAGGTTCTTTGGGGGCTTCGGGAGGGATTCTTTTGTTGTGGAGTAGTAAAGTTCTGAAGTTGGTGGAGGAGGTGCGGGGTTCTTTCTTCCTGTCGGTTGCCTTTAATTTCCCTTCTAAGGGGTTAGGTTGGGTTACTGGGGTGTACGGCCCGTCGTCTCTGAAAGGTCGGAAAGGGGTTTAGGGTTTAGTCTTTGGGGTCTTTGTGGAGATTGTTGGTGTTTGGTTAGAAATTTCAGTGTGGTCAGATTCCCTTCTGAAAAGTCTTCAGTTGGAAGAGTTCTAAGGTCGATGAAGGAGTTCAATAGTATCATTAAAGATTGTAGCTTGTTGGATCCCCCCGGTTAACGGTAGATTTACGTGGTCTAGACAAGGGACTAGTTGCAGGTTGGATAGTTTTTCAAATGTTAAACAATCTTTGGGTCCCAGAATCACTTCCGATCATTGGTCGGTTTGTTTAGATTCAAGAGCGGTTAAATGGGGTCCCTGCCCGTTTAGATTTGAAAATATGTGGCTTCCTCACCCTTCTTTTAAAACTTCCTTTCAATCTTGGTGGAACGCTGAAGTTCGAGGAAGATGGGAAGGCTTTCGTTTTATTAAGAAGTTAAAAGCTATCAAAGTTTCTCTAAAAGTCTGGAACGTTGCTACTTTTGGTGATATTAGGTTGGAGAAGGCAGAGCTTATTGAGAAGATCAAATCCCTCGATAGTCTTGAAGCGGAGGGGCTCCTTTCTTTGGAGCAGTTGGAGGAAAGGAGTAGTTTGAAAGCTCAGTTTATGGAAGTGATTCGCAAGGAAGACCAGAGTTGGAGACAAAAGTCCAAGTTTAAGTGGGCTAAGGAAGGGGACTGTAATTCCAAATATTTTCATAACATGGCTAACGGTAGAAGGAATAAGAATATTATCTCTTCTCTGGTTAATGATTTTGGTGAGGCGCTGCGTGAGGATCAAGAGATTGGAAGGGAAGTGATTTCGTTTTTTAAGGATCTTTACGCCCCGTTTCCGTGCTCTAGGCCTTTCTTGGAAGGCTTGGATTGGAGTCCTATTTCTTTATCGGAGGATGGGCTCGAAGCTCCTTTCTCTTTAAAAGAAATTCGTCGGGTGGTGTTTGGATTTGATAGAGATAAGTCTCCAGGCCTGGATGGTTTTACCATGGCCGTCTATCAAGATAACTGGGACAGTCTTGAGGAGGACTTGTTGAAAGTCTTTCAGGAGTTTCATGAGAGGAGTGTGATTGATTCTTCCATGAACGAAACTTACGTGTGTCTCATCCCGAAGAAGGAGAATGCAGCTAGGGTCAAAGAGTTTAGACCTATTAGCTTGATTACGAGCCTCTACAAAATTATTGATAAAACTCTCGCGGATAGACTTAGAAAGGTCATGCCTTCTACAATTTCAGAGACGCAAGGGGCTTTTGTTGCAGGTAGGCAAATTTTGGATCAAGTGTTGATAGCTAATGAGGCTATAGAGGATTATAGGAAGAGGAAAAGGGAGGGGGTGGTGTTCAAGATTGATTTCGAAAAGGCTTATGATCATGTGGATTGGGACTTCTTAGACAAGGTTCTGGGGAAGAAAGGCTTTGGATATAAATGGAGAGCTTGGATGTGGAATTGTATAAGGTATGTTAGTTATTCCATCCTTGTGAACGAGAGACCTAGGGGAAAAATTATTGCTTCTAGAGGCCTTCGGCAGGGTGATCCTCTCTCCTTTCCTTTTTATATTGGTTGTGGACATACTTAGTAGATTAATTTCCGTTGGAGTGGAGAAAGGAGCCTTGGAGGCCTTTCAAGTGGGAATGGAGAATGTTCGCCTATCTCATCTCCAATTTGCAGACAACACTATTTTCTTATGTTCTGGTAAGGATAGGGCTTTTAAGAACTTGAATTGTCTTCTAGGTTTCTTCGAAGCTTTATTAGGTCTTAAGATAAACATAGGAAAAAGTTTGTTGTTGGGGGTAAATTGTGATGGTGGTAAGCTTAGAGAGTGGGTGAATCTAGTTGGGTGCGAAGTTGGTGAGTTCCCCTCCTCCTATCTTGGTCTTCCTTTAGGTCATAACCCTAAAAGTGTGACGTTTCGGACGTTGGTATGGAGAAGTTTCAGAAATGCCTTTCCTCTTGGAAAAAGGCCTTCTTTTCTAAAGGAGGAAGACTCACATTAATTCATTCGGTCTTGAGGGGTATCCCAACTTATTATCTTTTCCTCTTCAAGATTCCGGTGGCAGTTAGTGAGGCCCTGGAATAAATCCTGAGGGATTTTCTTTGGGAAGGCATAGAAGAGGGGGGTGGTGCTCATCTGGTGAGTTGGATAGAGGTTACAAAGCCTCTGGAAGTGGGAGGTTTGAGTATTGGGAACTTAAGGCTTAGGAACGAGGCTTTCTTGGCTAAATGGTTTTGGCGTTTCCTCCATGAATCTAACGCCTTATGGCAAAGGATTATTGTGAGTAAGTATGGTCCGCATCCGTTTGATTGGGTTTCAACAGATGGACCTAAGGTGAACCATTTTAATCTTTGGAAGGCTATCGCTTTAGGTTTCCTTGTTTTTTCTCATTCTAGCTGGTCTGTGGTGGGGGAGAGTCGTAATACTTACTTCTGGGAGGATGCTTGGGTAGGAGATAAACCTCTTTGTATTGCGTTCCCTCGACTTTATCATCTTTCTGGAAAGAGGCTTCATTCGGTGGCCAAGGTTTTGAGTCACCGGGGAGAGGTTCTTTTTATTTCTTTGGGCTTTACTCGTGCTTTAACAGATCAGGAAACCTTAGAGGCGTGTCTGTTATTCCTGGGAGGGAGGATGTGAGACTTTGGACCCCCACCTTATGTAGTTCTTATTACTGTATCTTGAGTTCCCCTTCCTCTTCTTCTTCCCCTTCGACCCTTTGGTTCTCCTCTCTTTGGAAGATTAAAGTTCCTAAGAAGATCAAGTTCTTTGGGTGGCAAGTCCTTCTTGGGAAAGTCAATACCTTGGATCGTATCCAGAGGAGGTCGACCTTTTGTTTGGGTCCGCAGTGGTGCGTTCTCTGCAAGAGTGCATTGGAAGACCTTGATCACTTGTTGTGGACTTGTCAGTTTGCTTAGGATCTCTGACATCGTTTCATTATGTGTTTTGGGATATCCTGGGTCCGTGCTAGGGATTGTAGGGCTATGATGGAGGAGTTGCTTTTATACCCCATTTTCGTGATAGGGGTTGCTCTTTGTGGTAGGCTTGCTTTCTAGCTATGTTATGGGGTATTTGGCTGGAAAGGAATCATAGAATGTTTAGGGGGGTGGAAAAGTCTGTGGACTATGTCTGGGATTTAGTTAGATTTAATACTTCGTTATGGGGCTCGGTTTCTAATCCCTTCTGTAATTATACGCTAGGCCTTATTCTTTTGGATTGGAGTCCTTTTCTTTAGGGGATTCCTCTTTTCGGGCTGTTTTTTGTATGCTCTTCAGATGATCCTTTTTTGTAGTTCTTGTATCTTTTTCATTATTCTCAATGAAAGTATTGTTTCGTATAAAAAAAAAAGAAGATCAAATTTTTTCTTTGGGAGGCCAATTTGCTATCTATAAATACCCACGACAAACTCCAAAGGAGGCTGCCATCGATGTGCCTCTCTCCTCACTGGTGTGTTCAGAATCACAGGGTCATATTTTTGCCTCTTGCACTTTTCATCCACTTTATGGCACACCCTTCTATCATCTTTTGGTCGGTCTGTAGCTCTACTGGCAAATCTCCACAGTATATTTTCTTCCTATCACGGGACACCTTTTTACCAATGAGGCAAAAATCCTCTAGATGCAATTCATTATGGCATTGATGTGGTTGATTTGGCTAGAGAGGAACCGTCAGATCTTCCAAGGAAAAGAACGGTCTATCAATAACATTTTTGAATCTATAGTGTCATTAGTTGTTTCTTGGTGCAAATGCTCTCCATCTTTCATCACTATAGTTTTGTCTCTCTATTAACCAATTGGAAAGCTTTTTTGTAGCTCCATTGGTGGTTTGGGATGTCATCCCCTTTTGTATATTTTCTCATTTCATTGAATTAATGAAATAGTATCTTGTTAAAAAAAAGAAAAGACGCCATATCACTTGAATTCTTTTGCTGACTTATCTTGTTTGAACTCGACCATTCTTGTTTTGGGTTATGTGAGCATATATTAAATGCCTGAAATTTTGTCATCTAACACGAGGATGATGGTAAGTTGTAACAAAATGTGTAGTGGGAGTGGAAGTTAGTTTAGAGATCTGGTATGTAGGAAACCAGAGGAGGGGTCTCAAATACTTGTGTGGTAAGATCCTATTTGTTATTTGCCACCATAACCTTTATATACTAGTGAAAGTTTTCTCGAACATTTGGATTGAGGGAAATAATAAGATTTTTAGAGCTAGCGAGAGATCCTGTGAGGAGGTTTAGTCTCTTGTTGGGTTTAACATCTTTTTTGGGGCATCAATCTTCAATGATTATTATATTTACCTGTTAGGTCTTACTATCTTAGATCAGAGCTATTTTTGTATAGTTAATTTTGTTCATGCGAGTTGCCTTTTTGTACGTCAATTTTCCATTATCCTCGTTGAAAGCTTAGTTTTTTGTAGAAAAAATTAATAAAAAAATTCTTATGCATTGCTGTGTAAACTAAGGATACACTACACGATGAGACACCACCATATGAAGGAATCCTTTTACTTTTATGTCTTTCAAAAGATTGTTTTGTTTTCTAGATTATCGAGTTTGTGAAGAATTATGCAGTGATTTCATTTTCTTTCCCTTTTTGGGTTCTCCTAGGCCTATAATCGACATATAGTGGGACTCTTGGGAAATAGTGACGAGCCTTCAACAAGAAAATCCTATATAGAATGTAAGGAGTTGGCTGCTCGGCTTTCTGGAACATATGTAGGTGCAGCTAGGAACAAACATAGATCAGACATTTTAAAGATGGTTAAAGATGGAGTTGAGCATGCCTTCTCTGATGCACCGAAGAATTTATCCTTCCTGGAATGTGCCGTTGTACAGTTTGTATCCAAACTACCTACACCTGATGTCCTGGAAATGTAAGATTCTTGTTCTTTTTTGACCTCAGGTTGAGGAATAACTAGTTACAGCTTGAAATGACTTAATTTAATTCGTAATTATTTTTCACATAGTATCAAGGATGTCCAGAAGCGAACAGAAAATATAAATACAGATGAAGACCCAAGTGGCTGGCGCCCCTATCATACATTTGTTGACAGATTGCGTGAAAAGTATGCTAAAAGTGATGGTCTTCAAGGTAACTTGCTTCTCTCAATTTAAGTTGTCTTTAGTAGCAACTCCCCTCTCTCTTGGTTTAGCGTGCACGGCTCTTGATTAGATTCTGGTTTACTTTGGCTCATTTCCATGTTTGGATTTATTATTTAGTTCTGGATTTGTTTTCTAAACCTGCTATGGATAACAAAATCATTACAAGTTTTTTACAAAATTCTTAATGAGCTTTGATTTGCATGTATTCATGCTTGATCTGTGTCGGTTAATAATGTAAACTATTTTCTGAAGTTTTGTTATTGTGCTTATAAAATGTAATTGGACAAAGCCAAGCACTTTATAAGCGGTAGATATTAAAACCCAAGGGTGCGTTATGTAAAAGAGTAAACATAAACTATTCAGTAAGTAGATACCCAAATACAGTGCTATTTGCATTTTTCTGCCATTTCATTCTATTAAACCTTACTGAAACCCTACCTTCACCAGTTATGGTCTCTAGGATTCAGACTTCCAAGGTGGCTTAATTTTTATTTATATTATTAAGTAAAAGAAAGAAATTTCATTGGCAAGGAAGATATGCTAAAGAGAGTTTGTAGACAAGATTTTTTTTTGGAAGAAAAGCTGTGCTCTCATTGAAAAAAATGGAAAAAAAAATACAAGATGGCATACAAAAAAAAGAGAATAGCCCAACAAAAGGGAGCCAAACTAAAAGAAAGAATTTAATCTTTTTTGAGTATATGCCTTTTCAAATGGGCTTCACAAGAAGAGCTGAATCATTTTTCATTTTAGAGCCCATATTCTAAAGAAGAGATTTGAAGGTGAACAGGCCCTTGCTATCCAGTTTCCAAATCCATTTTCCTCCACTAGGCCAAGGCAGGTGGGAGAACGAAGATTGGAAAGATCCGCCCATTGCTTTATTTCGATCTCTTTGAGGTTTCTTCTAAGACCTAAGTCTTTAAAATCAGCTTCTTCCTTCCATACTTCTTTGACAGAAGCACATTTGTGAAGGAATGTTGAGAAAATGAAAGTGATAAAAATAATTTTGTGGAAGCAATAGTAAAATTCTCAATGTTTGATGAACAATAAGGAAATGTGAAATGTGAGAGAGTAGAAATAAACAGAAGAGAAATCAACTTCAAATTGAAGTGATTGTGAATAAACAAATAAAATAGTACAAAGGTTGGTGATACAAGAAATGTGGTACAAAATCTGATGGTACCAAAATATGTGTTACAAATATTTGGGTGGTACAAACTTCTCATGGAAGTTCATCCTTATATAATACTTGGACCTATTTTGTAACCTACATAAAACTTAAAACAACATTTAAAACCTAAAAACTTACTAGTCATAAAACTGAAAATTAAAAGACAAAATAACATAAGGGTCAAAAATAAAAACTGAAAACTTGATGAAGAAAAAACCTCAAATCTCAACAAAGAATATGGAGAAAAGATGAGGAAAAAATTATGTCAAAAGGTTCTTTTAACCAGAAATCACTCCAAAAGGATGTGAGGCACCATGTCTCACTTAACTAGCCAAACTATCATATATGAAAATTTGTAATTTTTTTGCAAAAAAATTTGGTGCTTCATGATATCTTTCTACAGTTCATGTGAAGATTTTAGAGAGACGTGAGCCAGTTTTGTGTTATTTAGCTTCTAATCCCTACGCCAAGTGACTCCACAACTCTTTGCAATGAGGATATCATAGGAAATCCTAATCAACAATCAGCCAAATGCCTTCTCAATATTCAATTTGATGACCACTCATTTCCTCTTCTTTCTCAATGTTCAGCATCATCATCACCCTTGGCAATAGTGGTTGGGAGACTCTGGAAGGTCAACAAATTCTTGATGCCTCTCTTATTGTAAATTAGCTCATCAATGAATGGAAGAGAAAGAAGAGGGAAGGGGTGGTCGTCAAATTGAATATTGAGAAGACATTGACAAGGAATTTCCTCGATGAAATCCTCATTGCAACAGGTTTCTTTTCCGCAATTGCACAAGCACAATATAGAAGACATTATCAACCGGCCTTGATTTGACAAGGCTTTTTCTTTAATTCAAACTCCTTGTGATAAGACAGGACGTTCAATATATAAATGATGAAATTGAAAGTTTTAAAAGGTCAAAGATGAAATTGAAAAATGACACAAGCGACTAAAATATATATTTAATGAAATGTAAAGTACTTTTGGGGTTTAACACACACTCCCCCGTCCCTCCATGTTTTTTCCATAGTGCATAACTAACAATCTTCGACTAGTTGAAAGTATTTTCTTTCTTTCTCTTTCAATCATTAGTATTTTACACGTCAAGACAATATTAACAAATAAGTTATGGATTTACACTAGATAAAAAAAATCAAGTTAGGAATTTGAGTAAATAAGATTCCCTTTGAAAGTATTTTCTTAATTTCTCTTTTTGTACTTTTATTTCATCTATACGTTTATATTAAGTTGATTTCTATTCTAAGCGTCATTAAGATTAGATTAATCACAAAAAATTCTTTTAAATTCTGGTTTCTAAATAGTTTTGATGATGACAGACAACAGTAGAAAAGTTCTACAAAATTTTCATTCTATCTGATTTCCATTTCCATTATCTCTTATTCCTGTTTCATTAAAATAAATGGGGCTTAAGGGTCTCGATCTATGCTGCATATATTCTGATGTTTCTTCACAGACCTTAAGCTGTAGCTATGTCTATTTAAATTTTAAATCATTGTTTTATTTAGCTTATATTTGATTTGGTTTTCTGTATTGTGCTTGTGCATTGTGCAATTGAAGAAGAGAAAGAAGGAAAAACTACCAGACGCAGGGGTCGGCCACGGAAAAAACATACTATACAGGGAAAGAGACTTTTTGATGAGCAAAGTACAAGTGAAGAAGAGGAATCAATTAGTGCATCTGACCAAGAAAATGTACATGATCAAGAAGAGAAGCCGGATGAGGAAGATGAGGAAGAAGCACCACTCATCCAATCAATTAGGTCATCCTCCAAGTTGAGGTCACTGATAATTTCAAGAGATGAAAGCACCACTCATACAACGGGCAGAGCTACAGATGGCATGTCTGCTTCCCGAATTTTAGGTACGGGGTGAATTTGTAAGTATTAACATATAGTATTTTCTTGGTCACTTGGGATTTTAAAAAGTGAGCCTCGGTTGAACATATACTCCCTGTGAGGCATATACCATGGTGGGCGTTGGGTTCATTTAATTTTATCATTCAAAAACTACATATTTTTATACGTAAAATATTCGTCTTCAATGTGCCTCGCACTTCAAATCTTTTTTGGAGGTTACCATCACCGAAATATATTGTTGAAGCATGAGTCCATGCAACAATATGCTTACTTGCAGGGTACATCATTTCTGATAGACGAAGATTGAAAAAGTAGCTTTTGACGAAGGATATTTGCTTTTTCAGTTTTTCTCGCATAAGATTAGTAACCAAGCCATCTTGGTTCATGTGGTGCTTGGTTGGAGTTGTACTTTAGGCCTTTTTTCTCCGTATGATGCTTGAATTTTGTCATATGAAAAACTAACAATTCATTTCTGGTCAACTATTTTTATTCTGAATCTATTATTGCTATTACTGCTACTATTATTGTTTAATCACATGTCCTAGCTGCATGCGGTAGATATGTAGCAGGATAACATATCTTGTTCTATACAAATCTACAAATGAGTAATTGTTTTCTTTCTGCAGGGCCATCTACATAACTTGAATTGACAGTCTGTAAATTCTCTTGCATGACTCGTCATGGTGGACAGACGTCCTCAAATTTATTAAGATACGTAGCTGTGATGTTTATTATCTTTGTGCAAAACGAGATTATCTTGATGTATTCTTAATTGAAAGGTTCTTCATGAGATATTTCTTAACTGGTAATAAGAGTTATGGTGGGCATGGTCAAAATAGTTGGTATTCTTGTTAGCCTCAATCATTTCTTTGATAGTGGTAGAGTATCCATATGTGGTCTCTATTTTAACCAGAGATCTTATATGATTATATCGTTTGTCTTGCCCTTTTGTTTTTGCTTTGTTTGATTTTGCTCTAGATGTGATATTTTTAGTTCATAACGATATAGTTTTCAAGAATATACATATCATGCAAAATAATAAATTTATCATCAGATACGCCCTTTTCAACTACAAGCCTACCTGTTCCACAACAAAATTTTAATGCAACATCTGTCGGCTTTTAAATACTAAATTTGTGTTTTTGATGAATTTTATAAATATATTGACAAAAATCATTGGATATTTTTGAAAAAATTATAAAATTAAAAAAGTAATAAAAGAATATTTAATACAAAAAATAAGTATCACATAGATCTTTAAACTTTAAAAAGTGTCCTGAATTGATAGATCTTCTAGTGGCTGAATAACAAATAAGCATCTCTTGTAGTTTCTAACTTAAAAAAGGTGTAATAAATTCTTAAATTTTCAAGTGTATTCGATAATCAAATAATTTTTTTTTTTAATTCAAGAATCTATTACATAGAATATTAATAAATGATGTTGAATGTGACATAGAAATGTGGTTACAAATTTAGGGTACATTTGATTGGTAATCGGAAAATAAAGTAGTAAATGAAAAATAGAATTTTTGGATATATGTTTAGTAAGATTTAGAAACTAAATCTGAATTTCAAAAATTATTCAATATTTTGTTCGATCTAAAATATCATTAATTCATTTATTAACATTTATAGAAATATTATTTGATAGAATTATAGAATTATATAATTTATAATGTATTATATTTTACATTTTATGAAATAATATATTTATTGAAGCTTTTATCTTATTATAGTGTGAAATTAGATTTTAAAATTTCAAATTCAAAATCTGAAAACACTGAAATGTAAAAATATTATTTTGAAAATTTCTACTACTTAAATCACATAATTTAAAAATAAGTTTACAAAAACACATTTGGTGTCTGAACTTTTTATTAAATAACAATTTAGTCCCTATATTTTGAAATTGGTTAGATTTAATAGAAATATAACATGGCTAGTCCACGTGTACAAGGGACAGTTGGTGGGTTGGTTCAACTCATCGGCCCAAACTTGGACCAATTAAGGATTGAAAATAATAATAATAATAATTATAGAGAAAAAATACCTCCCACCCTTTATGACCCCCTCTCACCCTTCGACTTCGACGCACGACTCTCGTACTCTACATCGAGGGAGACAGAAAAAAAGGTCCGAGGAACAAAAATGTACGGTCGGAATTTGGAAATTGAATTGTGATAGAAGGGTAGGAAAATTCAAACGAATACTCATAATCGGAGTAGAATTCCATGGATGGTTTCGAAAAGAATATGAAATTACGAAACATAATTTTATTGAATTGGATGAAGCAGGAATAAAGGTAGCTAAATACCGAATTTGTTTTCTCGACAAGCAAAATGACAAAAACTGGGGATTGAATCAAGAAAAACCGACAGAAGAAGGATAATTACAAAAGATAGAGTGAAAATTTATTGGGGAAAATATCATCTTATTTGGGCCCTCGACGATTCTCTCTACAACCTTTTCCTCTATTTTCTCTATTTCAAATTTTTTGGCCACTGAAAATGTCGGCATTTACAACGGAAAAAGGATCCTTCGAGACTGTGAGCATTGGATTTGACAAATTCTACAGCCGGATTTTCGCAGTGCGTCAAATTTCACCACCAAATTCGAAACAAAGCAGAGTGGTGAAACCCGTGGAACAAGCAGTGAATCTACAAAATGATTCTACACAACATTGAGGGAAGGAGAAACCCAGATAATAATCTGGGTAGATTGAGGAATAAAGAAAAAAAATTAGAGTGGAGGGGGGAATTTTACCTGAATCTCTCAACGAGATTTGATACTTTAAGTAATGGCAGATTTCTTGTTCCGGAGAGGGAGGGCAAAATGGACGTGTCAGACTGTGAGGCAATTTCTTTGAACCAACCGAGATTGAACCAAACCAACCCACCAGCTGTCCCTTTAATTTGCACACGTGAACTAGTCATATCTAAATCGTAATCAATTTCAAAATATAGGGACTAAATCTTATTTCAGAGACCAAATGTATTTTTTAACCTAAAAATAAAAAGTAAATCCACAAACAACAAACAGAATCCGAAATTCAAACAAGCGGTTTCCAGAGTGTTATCTAATGTGGGCACATTGCCTCTACCAACTTACATTTGCTTTGAATCGCATAGAGGACACTCGGTTAAAACCACTCAAGGATTGACATGTATAACGTACAGCTTTAGGTGAAGAATGCATCACCAATATATTCTGATTAGACTTGGGAATTAAGAGTCAGTTCGAAACACATGTAGAGGTGAAAAATAAATACACAAATAGTTTATTCTACATCGCCAACACAATCCCTGCAAAATCATCTAAGTTCAGCACCAGATTCTACAACCTAACGTACCCCCACAAACTAACGTCACATATATTACAACTATAAAAATGTGACTGAAATGCCAAAAAATTAAACCACTGTTTTATGCTGTGTCACATCAGTGTTGTATTTCTCTTCCATAAACTTCTTGGCGCAATCATTTTTTGTGTTGAAAGGCGGAAGATGTTGCTCACTGAGGGTACTGGAGAATCACACCGATCCTTAAACTTATGACCAATCAAGTAAATTCATATATAAGCAAGAGAACTGCGATCTAGATCAGGCTGTGGGCGGCCACGGGTTGGAGTTGGAGGTCTCTGAATGTTAAGTTCCTGAAAGAACAAAAACAAGGTTGCTGCTCAACAAAATCCATGCTCCGCCAGTACTTGGCTTCTTGTACATTTAAATTCAAAGGGTTCTCTACCTGCATCCAAGTGTCGTCTATGATGCGTTCCGGAGATGTCTCTGGTGACTGGAGGGGAGGTGGCAATGGATGAATCAACTTTGGAACCACCACCAATCCCCTCCCAATAACCAATATGGCACCAGCATTGTTTGCAGTTCCTGCAGACCGAATCAGATAGGTCCAGTAACATTACAATGCAGGACCATTAACGGTAGAAATGGAACGGATAAATTACCAATCTAGTTCTAAAATGTTGATGATGCTTGAAGAAGCTTCACTTAGGTATTTGAACTTTCTATTTAAATTTTAATAATTCATTTTCATTAACATCTCTATTGTGTTGTCATGAAACTTAAAGTAGGTACCTATTTGATCCCTATAGTTTCAAAATGGACACTTTTGGTCCTCAACGTTTGTAAAATGGTTCTAATAGTTCCTAACATACTTTGACCGTTAGTTTGTTGACTAAGGTTGAGATAACATGGAAGATTTGACCAAATATAATAATTTAATGATATTTTTGAGACTAGACTTTTCATTTCCTACCTTCTCCTTCCTCTCTCCTCCTCCCATACTTTGGCAAACTGCCGCCGCCTCCCACCGCTGTTTCCTCACTGATGCCCGCCGTTTTGCTCCTTTTCAGGCGACCACCCTTGCCATCTTCGAGACTTCTCTTCCAGATCTTTAAAGAGGAAGTTCCTCCTCCTCTTTACTTTTCATTCTTCTTCATGTGAAGAGGAGCCAGATCTGGACGACAGCGAAGGTTATTGCCTGAAGAGGAGTGGGATGGCAGGTGGCGGTTCTCCAGAGAAGGGACGAAGGAGGAGAAGAGAGGAAGGAGGGAGGAAGAAGAAAGAGGGAAAGAGATGAAAAATCTAGTCATAATAAAAATATTATTATATTATTATATTTTTCCAAATCAACAATACCACTTAACTACCACATCATCTTAACGTTAGTCAAATTACGGTCAAAGTATGTTAGGGACCATTTAGAATAATCTTACAAACTTCAGAGACCAAAAGTATCTATTTGAAACTTTAGTAACTAAATAGGATACTTACTCCAAACTTCAGAAACCAAAAGTATATTTTATCCTTATTTAAATGTTAACATAACACATTGATTATTGACTAGACTAACAAATTATGATTTGGTACGACATGAACAAGGGGATAGGTTAACTAAATAAAATAATAGCAGACATAAAAAATCCAATTTCAAATTAGTCTAGCCTGCCTAGGATTGAGCTAGCTTACTCCCTTGTGCCAATGTTGTTCCAAATCACAAGTTGTTAGTTCAAAATTAACATGTCAGGTTAATATTTGAGTAATAACGTTAACATGTTAAAATTAAAATAAAGACTTTAAAGATGTAATTGAAACTTTAAATTGAAGGACTAAATAAACACAACTATTAAAGTTTATCCAACATTAAATTTGTAACTTAACCAAAAAGAATCTATAAGTTTTACTTACCACAATAGTTAGTGGCAGAGAATAGAGTGATTAATTGTCCCTGAGCAAATCGTTCAAATCCGTCCATGACACATTCGTGGGCTCTTATTATGAGCTGTAATTTATTTTTCTTGCAGAATTCCGTAACGCGATCGGGCTGCAAGAGCACATATAAAATAAAATAATGCTAAATTCAAACTGTCGGTTCACAGGCCCAACTCCTTATGTTGTGTTAGCGAATTAGAACATCTTTTGCCATACAAAGATTTTTTTTCCGTGTTAATTTCTTATGAGACCGTCTTTTATTAAAATAGAGAAAATCACCAAAGCAAGAGCTATGAGAAAGGAAAAAAGTATGAAACAAATAGGTGTCCATAATGAAGATTAAAAAAAACAGCTCTAATGGTTGGGAACAAAAAACAAAGGCCCAAGACCTCTCTATACCCTTAAAATTTCTTGTTCTTCTATTAAATGTTTCAAAGAAAAGAAAGTGGGCTCTAAAGGCAAGCAAATAAAAAAGCACCTCACAATTCTTACTATAAGCCAAACTCACACAGTAATTATCTAAACATTTACTCCAATTTTTCGTTGAAATAACATTTTTAACAAGAAACGAATTTTTCATTGATAAATTTAAAGAAACAAAAATTGTTCAAAGATACAAACCCCCAAAGGGGTGAAATGAGGGGTAAGGAAGAAGGGTGAAAAAATAAAAGAAAGAAACAACTAAAACAAACTTAGTATAGAGAATAAAAGAAATCTAAACATTACACAAAAAAGCCTCCCAATTAGAACAAATCATGGGAGGGGAATAGTTTGCAAAGAGATTGGAGAGAGCACAGAAGCTTTTGAACTTAGCCATAGTGAAGCATTTGAAATAACATAAGAATGTGATTCAAATAATTAGACTCGATTTGATAACCATTTTACATTTTTGGTTTTTTTTATTTTTTATTTTCTGTTATATATATATATATATATATATATATATATATATTATAAGAAACAATTTCATTGACGTATGAAATAACAAAAGGGGACCCCAAAAACCAATGGAGTTACAAGAAACTTCTCCAATTTGGGGAGTCGAGGTGTTGGGGCCGAGGAATCTTCGTTTGGGTATAGAGATCCTCGTAGGAAAAATTACCTATCTAGTAATTAATTTCAATTAAAAATTTTAAAAGAGTAAGAAATATATGTAAATTATATCTAATTTACATGAAAAAATTGGTCAATATTTTTATGCACAATGTAGTAAAAAAGTTYGTATAAAATATATTAATTATTAAGAGAAAAGAAATGAGGACGAGGTTAGTGCAGGCAAGGGAATGCATTCCCCTTCGTTGTCCTAGAAAAAAATTTGAGGGAAAACTTCCTCTGATTACCATCCTCGATCTCAACACATGAAAAATTTTGTCATACCTGATGGAGAGGCATAGAAATAAAAGTTTAGAAAGATAGAGACTTTTTAGAGAGAGATTTTAAAGAGTTAAGTGAGTGAGAGGTATGTTAGAGATAATATTAGTCAGAAAAGAGAAATTTTAAGGAGAGAAAAGTTAGAGACAAGAAGAAAAATTTTAGAGGATAAAGTTGAGAGCAAAGATACGTTAGAGAAAGAAAGCAAAATTAGAAAGAGAGAAAAATCGTGAAAGAAATCTTAAAGAGAAAAAATTTAGACAGAAAAGTTAGAGATGTATTTAGTGCACGAAAAATAAATTAGAAAGAAAAAAAAAATTATAGTTAGAGAATTTTTTTTTTTTTTAATTAGATGGAGTAAAGGCAGAGATACACAGTTTAGACAAAAGTAAATTAGAAAGCTAAGAAAAGCCTGAGGGAAAATTTTTAGAAAAGGAAAAGTTATAGAGAGGGAAGTTTTAGTGAAAAAAGTTTAGAGAGAAAAGTTTGAGAAAATATTCAATTTTTAGAGAGATATATGTTAAATAGAACTTAATTCTAGTGATGAGAATCTTAGAGGGAGAAAGTTAAACTTTTTAAAGAGACAAACTCAAAGAGTCAAAAATTTTATAGAAATTTGTTGGAGAGAAATGTCGAAGAGGAAAAAAATCAGCATTAGAAGAAACAATGAGATTTTAAAAAATATAAATCTGTTATCAAAACTAATTTTTTGGTTTTTGAAATTTACTAAGAATTTCAAAATCATTTTTAAAAAACAGAAACATAAAATAAAAGTGGTTATTTAAGACGTCCGTTTTTAAAAAACTAAAAACCAAAAACTAAAAATAAAAAACAAAATATTTTTCAAATGACCTCAGATACTCCGTTTGTTTTGAGTACAACAAGTGGAGGTGGAGAGATTCGAACTCATGACCTCTTGATTAGAGACAGTTGCCAATTACCGTTGAGGTAACCTCATATTGGCTAGATACTCTGTTTATAAAACATACTAACAAAAAACCAAGACCAAGAAGAATTAATCCTCCGATGCAACTAGTCATGAGATTTTAATCTTCCAAACTAGGTAAAGAATCAAAAGTTCAAACACAATCCTTAGAACTTAAAGAATGTATTAGTACAACCTATGGAACAGGACATATCCTGTTCAAGAAACAAGGTCATAAGCTCAAATGCAATCTTACAATAAAAATAAACCAATCATAAAAGGGAAAGCAAGGAGGATAGACAACAGCTTCCGTGTTAAACATGACCAAGGTAAAAATTATAAGAAATGAAGCCCCCTGATGAATAAAGGATAGGAAAACTGCACTCAACTTTTGTGAAATAAAAGATGTAGATGAGAGGAAAAAATGAGCAAAATGAACAAAGGAGACCAATGTCAATCCAAAAATCCTCCCTAAATCACACAAGTCTCATCCTGAATGAATAAAAAAGACCTCAAATTTAGGAATCCCCCTAGTGAGTTCTCCACTAACGTTTCCTCTGTGATTGGTCCTCTATCAAACTAACTTGTTTATTGAGTACAATCTTCTCTTACTTTTCTCTCTCGTGTGCTCGCACACCGCTGGTGCTGTCTACCATATTTTTCTCCACCCGCCATAAAATTATGTAATGCTCTGATGCCAAAATGTGATGAATCCAGTGTTTTCAAGGCGCAAGGCGCACTTCAAGGCGACAAGCCCTTTGATCGCCCCAAGGCGAGAGGCGATAAAAAGGCGAGGCCTGAGTGAAGCGAGGCACACTGAATAAAATATTTAATAAATAATATTTATTAATAATTTAGATGTAAAATAAATAAATATTCAATAAAATGTGAAAATTAAAATATATATATATATATATTCAAATAAAAATTAATTTAAATAATTGAGAAAAATAAAAATATTCAGATTAAAGAAAAAAGAAGCAGAGAGAAAATTGTATTTAAAATAAATGGTAAATAAATAGTTCAATAATGCTAAAGAATTAAATAGAAATAGTTGTATTTATGGGAAACTGTATTTATAATAAATAGCTGTGTTTATGGGAAACAAGCACATAGAAAAATGTGTTGCCTTCAAACTTTTCAAACTTTTCTTTCTTTAGTACTGCCCTCATTTTTTTCTTCTTCTCGTACTCTACAAAAAAAGAAAAGCTCTTCTCCTCCTCAAGCTTTTCTTCTTCAACATGCTCTGCCTCAAATTTTCTTCTTCCTTCAACTCTACCATCTCTATTATCTCCCTTCTTATCTCCTACAATTCTACTTTTCTCCTCTCTTCATCTTCTTCTTTTTTAAACTTTTCGTTCTCTTTTTGTTTATTTTCGTTATGAGGTGGATTTTTATTGAGTTAAACTGATTTAAAAAAATAAATAAATAAATAAAAAAGTTTGATGTGCCCGCCCCTTCAACCAAGCGCTCGCCTCGCCATAAGGCGAGGGCGCGCCAAGGAGCAGTGAGGCGCACCAAGGCGAGCGCCCGGTTGAAGGCGGTCGCCCTGGCACCACTCAAGGCTCACTCAGGCGAAATCGCCTCGCCCCTCGCCTTAGGCGCTTGCCTGGGTGCGCCTCGAAAACACTGGATGAATCATAATTTTTTTAAAGTAGCTGCCCTCCAATTAGCGTGGCAGGTATCATCAATATAAGTCAGTTTACAGTCTTAACCGACTGCTAACTTGCCAACCGATAGGAATAACCTAGGAAGCATTGACACTCCATTTTAGGTGGAGTGTCCTTATCGGACACCGATAAGTCCGGACACGCTTCGGACACATGGCGTGTCCAATTTTTTTTTTTAAATTACGGACACGCCCCGAACATGCGGGGACACATTCGGACACTTGGGGCGGGACACTAAACACGGCGCAACAGGCGTGGGCCCAAATTTTTTTGAATAAAAAAATTGAAAAACAAAAGAAAACTTAAAAAACAAAACCCTAAATTGTTCTCTTCTTCATTTTGTTTGCTTTCCTTCTGCCTACCACACCAAGTCACTTAAACCCTACCATCCTCTCGTAGTGGACCTAGTGGTGATCAAGATGAAGACATTGTGTAAGTTTGAGATGAGATGATTAAAGTTTTAGTTTTTTCTTGTGTGAAAGATCGATTTTACTTCTTTTTAAATTTGAAGTGTAATGTAGGTTGGATAATGGATTTTGTAATGTTAAGTACAATTTTATTTGTTGTGTGGTTAATTTATGCAAAAGTATAACTATAATCAATTCATATGCATACATTATCTAAAAAAAAAAAAAAATAACATGTCCCCAACGTGTCCGTGTCCTATATTTTTAGAAATTGCGTATCACTGTGTCCTTGTCGTGTCGTGTCGTGTCGTGTCCGTGTTCGTGCTTCTTTGGTTCTCTCAAGTGGACAATAGTTTTTTTCTGATATCAGCCTTCACCTCATTGCTAATCCCGTAGTTATTTGAGATTGAGTGTCTACTACTGGGCCTCCAATAGTGATTAATACAATTTTTTAAACAAACAGAAGCCATGAAACCTATATCAGCTTGAGAAGCTAAATTTGGAGAAGTCTTAGCTCCAAGAGACAAGCAAAGATTGACTATCAGTGTCTGGCGGGTTAATTGAATTAGGTTCAGTTTATTATATTTCTAGAACCGAACGGGTCAGTTCAGTTTCGGTTTGGAAATAAAGAACCGAACATTAAACCGAATTCGAATCGAGTATATTATTGTATGTTAGTTTTTATTTTGTGAGTCACTTTATTTGAGGTATTTGTTTTTTTTTTATTTTTTATTTTAATATTTAGAACTTCTTTTATTTCTATTTCCTTTACTCCTTTGTCCTTGTACCAGCTCCCAAGACTAGTCGTATCAGCTCTTTTTTCAAAGAAAAATAAAGTTGAATGTCTTACCATCTTCTCCCTCTTACACATCATCTTCTCCATTTTTCACCATATTCTTTTTCATCTTTTTCACTACCATGAATCGTATTCTTCATTTCTTTATCTTCTCCATCTTTCCCCTCCCCGCTCCTACCTCTCCTCCGTCTTCTTCTCCCTCCCCGACGAGAAACCTCACAAGGATGGCATGACCTGGTAGGCTGCTTTCTCCTCCTTTTNGTCTGTGTCCTATAATTTTATAAATTAGCGTATTGCCGTGTCCATGTCGTGTCTGTGTCCGTGCTTCTTAGGGAATAGCAGAACACTAACAACTAGCTAAGGCTCGGCTCAGTGACCTAACAAGCTAGGTAACATCTTCTTGAACTTATAGCTCAACACAAATCGAGAATATGGTTTACATCATCTCTTCCCTATCTCTGATCCTTGCATTCATGAAAAGTTCATATAGAAAAGCACACTCAAATCTTATGTGTATATATGTAGCAAAAGATAACTAGCATACCCCGAAGGTGACAAGACCGGGCCCCCTAGCATTTGGTCTCAGACCCTCAACACTATCATTTTCCGTTGGATCAGACCTGCAAACAGACCCAATAATCCACAATCGGAAGGAAACAACAAAGAGGAAGTACAAAGAATTTAAATATACCAGAGCAGATCCATCAAAATAATAGATCCTGCATCCATTGTAATGGGTCTTTCAAGCTTCTCTATTTGTTCAACCGTGTGTATTGATCGCCCTATGCCTCCATGCATGCAGATAATTTTCTTTTCAATCAGTGCAGCAAGTGGAAGGTAGTTGAATAGTTGATTGAAGCGTGTCCAAGCCCAAATTCCATCACTCTCTCCCTACAGACACCTACGTTATTGGCTCTAATTAACTTTAAGTGATATTAAAATTGTAAATACATATCCATTCCTACCATTCTCTCTATGCATTCAAGACGAAAACCAAATAGCGCATTTATATCAGCAGCCTCATGGTTTCCACGTATTAAGTGAACATTATCAGGGTATTCAATCTGCAAATTCATGACCAGCTCAATATACAGTTATAACTTATAAGAGTGACATAACAAATAAATAACAAATGTTAAAATACAATCTTGCCTTGAGAGCGAGAAGCAAAGTTATAGTCTCCAAGCTATGCTGTCCTCGGTCAACATAATCTCCCAAAAACAAGTAATCAATGTACCTATTTTTAAGATGATCAATTCGTAAAGGGAATCAAGATGATAGCTGACAAGTTCAAACTATTTAGTGCTGTGATTATAAGAGATCTGATAGGTTCAGGTGGCATATATCAAAGATTACTTGAACAGCACAATAACCTGTACTTCGACAAATAGGGGGAAGCTTCACTGAACACAGTGATCTCTAAAATTCAAGTGATTGCAAAATAATATTTATTATGAAACAACCACCAATAATCTAAGTACCCAACAGGTTTAAACACCTAATCTCTGAAATTTAAACTAAATGCAAGATGAAGGAACCAACAGGTTTAACATTTGCATGGTCAATGTCAAACACCAGAAATCCAAGCAACTTTTTACCATAATTCAATCCCATGAACCTTCTCTAACTCAGGAAAATGCAGAGATCATACATCATCAGTTCAATATTGACTACGGGTTCAGCAACAGAACTACTTGCTACATTCACAATGAGCAACCGGTTCTTTCATTTATGTATTTATCTGAATATACGAATAAATGTATTAATAATTCAGAAAAAGGGGAAGGAAGAACAAAGAGACTACAGAGAGAAACTGCAACCTAAAGTGGTCACGAACCTGACCTACATTCAACATCCTTATTGTACATTCTCTTCTTTGTTTAAAGAATGATTTTATTGATAGATGAAATGAAAAAAACAAAAAAATATCCACACAACAAAGAATGGCAAAAGGCTTCCTAATCAGTGTTAGCGCACTTTTCAGCTACGTTTATACATTGTTATAGCTTCTTTTTTTTCCAAAACAATTTCATTCATTGTATGAAACTATGGAAGAGGAGAATCCTTCCCAGTCCAAGACAGGTACATACAACCTCACCAATTGGACAAAAGTATAGAAAAACTGTCATGATGGACGACCAAAAATAACTATAGATTAAAAAAGAAAAACTGTCAGGGATCAATGGAAAATCAATTCAAGATTAAAAACAACATTAAGAATAAGATGTAACCTAAACACCAACTTCTAAAAACTAAAAGACAAGTGCAGAGCTCGTATAGCGAAGATGCTAAAGATTTCAAGTTGATTCAAAATAAAAATTACCACCTGGATGCTATTGTAGGAAGAAAGGAGTTGTAATGCAATCTCAATTGCCTATACTCACGTTATATCTCCAGCTGTGGAGGGAAATCCATACTCATCAAAAAGCCTCATCAAATCACCAAATTGTCCGTGAAGATCACCGAATACTTTAACTGGAGCTTTAAGCTGTAGAACTGTCGGTTCATGCATAAATATCTGCTCAGCAGCATAACAAAGCTCGCCGACTTCATAGGAATCAAGAAAAAACCTCCTATTGGCTGGGGCTTTCCAATTCCGAGGTCTAAGTAAAATCGAAATGACCTGCAAAAAAATTAAAGAAAAATAACAACATACAGATATGAAAATAAAATTAAAAAAAGCCTGAAATGGTTTATATGACATAGAACAAAATCAAAAAGTTATTGTTCATGGGTCAAGCAAACACGGGCAAACATACAAGGCTATACAAAATCCACCAACTAAGATGCAGGCAACAAGAGAATGTATAAGAAATGAGCAAGTAAAAGCTCTCAACAATCCATCTTTCCAATTTCATTATCAGTGAGAAGTTTGTTTCTTGTTAAAAAATAAAAATAAAAACCCTCAACAATCCTCCTAGAATTTACAAAGCTTGGTTGAAAGCTTACTGGAAATCCAAAAGTCTAAAGAAGATTAATATCTTAATATGGATTCTGCAAAATGGTGGTTTGAATACAGTTGAAAGACTTTGAATAAAACTGCCTGCGATTATCCTACAGCCATCAATACGTGCACTTTGTATGAAGACCAAGATCACATTTTTCTGTTTGCCCAAAGACACTGGCAATATCTGTTTCAGAACTTCAATATCATTTGGGAACTGGACAATCATGCTAAGGATGGGATGCTTCAACTTCTCTGTGGTATCAAATTGAAACAAACCAAAGTTGATATGGCTACATATGTTTAACGCAATTATTTCAAAGTTATGGTTGGAAAGAAATCAAAGGATATTTGAAGACAAATTTTTGGAGTGGAGTAAAAGCATGGATGTAGCTCAATATAAAGCTGTTTCTTGGTGTTCTTTATCTTCGTTGTATAGTAATTGCTCTTCACAGCATATCAAGAACAATAGGAGATTTTCTTTGTTATATTATATATTGGGGGTTTTGGATCTGTGCTCCTAATTACACTTATTTTCTCGTTTTTTCTTGTTATTGAATTTCAATTATCAATGAAAAGATTGCTTCATTTAGAAAACCTCTAAAATAAGGAATAAATCAGTTTTCATATGCTGCTTCGATAAACCTTCTTGTGCAAGCCCTGAGGAGATTTCTGCCTGGTGAACTTCTTGGTTGGATATGACAAGTCGTTCGATGGAATCATTCTTCTGCTCTCGTTTTCAAATTGATCTAAAGACAATTGCCTCACCATTCCACCCAGGTTACCCATAGCCTCTTTAGCTACTACAACCTGGAGCAAGCAAATAAATAACATCAGAGCAAGAACGTAAAAAAGTCATAAAATGTTAACAATTTCACAGAGAACACACAGCTCTTGGATGCAACCGGACATCAGCCTCGTAGTCACTACCATCTGAAGTTGTTTCAGCAGCTCGTGAGTTGTCATCTGAAACAGATGTGTCTTCAGCAGAAGCAGCCTGAACCGCATGCCAAACAGCATTAGCAGCCTCAGCTTCAGCAGCAGAAGCCTCCCTCAATTTCTCCATAGAACTTTTATCCATACCGAAAGAGATTACATAAAATATTTTCACCAAACTGAACATACTAAGAGCAAGGGTGAGAAAAGATGTTCAGAATAATACCTCATGCCTCCAGCGGAAGGATTCTCCAGTTCACCATCAGAGGATGGTAATGTCGTAGATGAACTTGTATTAGATTGATTGACTTTGGAACTTGTTATAAGAGATGCTCTCTCGGATGTTATTGCAGGAGAATTGATATCAGACTGAAAAGATGAATTTTCTGCAACCAAGAAATCATCTAGCAGCATATCTGCAAAACAATATCTTTATGACAGTGAAAAAAGATGGAACAAGAAACTAATTCATTACTTCAAATGTAGGTCAAACATAAGATCCAGATAAAATTAGTTAGAAGTTGCAAGTATCTAACATCTGAAACACAGGTTTGTGGAAAGAAAATCAAAGTACAACTTACAGAGTGCAAGTGTGCCTCGTGTATAACCACCAGATTACATTGCTGCTTTCTCATACAAAACTCCAAAATACAGGGTGTCAGCATGCAAGTATAACAACTTCTCTTAACATTTTCTTACCCCCTCTAAGACCACCATAAATGTAAATTCGGACACCAACCGATGCAGCTGCATGCCGACAGCGACGCATAAGCTCCAAAGAGGGATCGTAATCAGGGTGACCCTTGTTCGCACGTGATGAAGTTACCAGCCCATTTCTATCCAACCATACTCCAGCAGCAGTGTCCAATACTATTAAATGCAATGAAAACAAATAAACACGGCATAAATAGATATATAATGCAGTTACAGAACAATAACTGTCACCCTGTAATAGCAAAGAGTACCTGCAATAGCTGCTTCACCTTCTATTGCACGTCCACCCCTAAGAACACCTCCTGTAACGTGCAGTCGTGCACCAACAAAAACCTAATAACACACAGGCCAAATAGAAAAATTCAGATGGTCACATGGTTTGAGCACCCAAAATGAAACTAGCCGCCCCCAAGGGAGGGGTGGAGTGGAAGAAGTAAGCAACAAAAACATGATCTGAAATCCACAAGCAAAGTTGAACAAGTACAAAGAACCTCATAATCATGCATCAAATTCAGCACAAAACCTAATATTGTAAGAACTGAAACTTTTAACCACTAGTTTGTAGAATTAGTCGGTCACTTACTGCAGCATGTTGATACCTAGGTGATGGAGATACCCCAGGAGCAAGGGTCCACTCCCACTGACCATTTCTATGCATCAGCAACCCATATGCATCAGCTAATGGCTGGAAAGAACAATACACATGATAATTGCGAGGAGAAGTCTCAATAAAGAAATATTTCTCATAACAAATTGCCAAAGGTCTTGACAAGACGACGAGCCAATGGAAAATTTCAGGTCCTCAAGCAAAACACGGGTCGTAACTAAGGATGCTCTCTACTCTCTTGTCCAAGGTTTCAGCCTCGTTGACATTTCAGGATTCAAGATAAATAAGTGTTCAATACTGGATTACCGTGAAAAATATTTCATTTGCAATAGAAATCTAAGAAGCACGAATATAGATATGAGACATAGATATGCCACGACAGCAACACGGTGAGACATTATTTTCTAAAAATCTAGTACACGGACACGACAATAACACATTTATTAAAATATACCATTTTTTTAAGTATATATCATTTTTATACTAGAAGGAAACTCAAAGTCAATAAGCTTATGCATTTTTATACTTAAAAGTCAATAAGCTTATGCATCTTTATGCTTAAAGTGATATATTTTCCTCTCAAAATTTATTATTTTGTCCTATATTACTATTTATGTCAATTTCTTATGCTTAACAAGTGTTCATACACGTCTAACAAGTGTCGAATCCATACTCACTTTGTACAACTAGTATGTGACACACCTCTAGTGAGCTAACAAGTGCCCGATACGTGCCTGATAAGTGTTGGAGTGTCGGAGTGTCCTAAACACGTTATCCAAACTGAATTGTCCATAAGGAAATCAATAGTTGTTGTATTGAAAGCAAGCCCTATTGTATTTGATATGAGAATGAGGGTTTTTAATTGAAGATATAGAAAGAAATTCTTTGTTGCCCCTTAATTCTTGTCCGTTAGCTTGGTCTGAAAACTCATTCATTTGGTTCATGCACAGTCCAATTCAAGAGCATTTTTCAAACAAGTTAGAACGATTTTGGTACTTGCAAACTCAAAAATTTAGATCCAACTTTATAAATTATGTTGAATGTGTCATTTGGCTCATTTCTAGAGGGAGAAATAGTGTTGTCGTCCCTTTTGGGCACAACAAAAGTGGTTGGTTGACATTGTGGGATATGTTGAGAGCACGATTGACCCGAACTTAGAGAGGAACAATAGACTGTTTAGGGGGGTGGAGAGGTCGGAGGATTATGTTTGGGAACTTATTAGATATAATACGTCTTTATGGGGTTTGGTCACTAACGCCTCTTGTAATTATCAATTAGGCATCATTCTTTTGGATTGGAGTCCTTTTCTGCAGGGGCTGTCTTCTTGTATGCCCGTGTTGTTCTTTTGTAACTATTTTTATTTTTCTCAATGGAAGAAGCATTGTTTCTCATAAAAAAAAACGATTGACCCGAAGCAAAAGGAATATTAGTTCAGATGAAGCAAAGGTTTCTTCAAAGAATCATTCTAGATTTTCTTACACAGACATAATCAAAGGAAATGGAAAGAAGGTACTAGCAGTTGCTAAGCCAAATCCTAAGCTAATTGAGGATAACACCAGAGGAAAAGAAAATATTGAAGTGGTGAATTTAAGGAGAAAATTACAGAATGATTCGTTATTTCCAGAACACACTTATAAGAAAAAGAAAAATGTAAGATTTGGAGGCATCAATGGAACGCTCTCTCTCTTCTCTCTCTTTTCAGGTCTTTCGTCTTTCAATCCTACCTAAGTTCGAGTTCTTTTGAAATTTCCTCAGTGGTCTTTTCAGTTCTATTAGAGAGATTTAATTGTCATTCGTCATGTTTTCAAGTAGCTGCTATGTGAAAGATAGGTATTTTTTCATTAGACGATCTAACGAAGGATTTATGTTAGAGGAAAAAAGAAAGAATCACCGCTTTGAGATTTTTTTTTTTTTCCTGGAATCAATTGCAATGGATTGAAGAGGTTATTGTGGATTTAATCTAATATCCGTTAAAAGTTCATTTCTTCAAGGTCAAGGAAATTTCTAAACCAATTTGGTTGGAGTTTTGAATGTGCAACCTTCTCTAATATAGGTAGTAGAAGAAGTATCGTGATTCCTGCAGGTGAGGTTGGCTTGTATTTTGGGAAATGATTAGAGAAGCATTGATGATTAATGACAGGAATACAGAGAAGGATGACAAAGTTAGACCTTACAATGCTGAAGTTCAAAGAGAAAAAGCTCCAGGATGTTCTTATTTACAGCAACTCTTCTTCTACGGTCCAAATCTTTCTCCAAAAGCCTGTTTATTATGATCCAATGTGGTTATAGCCTTAATCTACAATAAGTTATAACCAAGTTGATCTTAAACTTGAACCCATCCTTGAATCTAACTCGAAGAAACAGTACTAATCAAAGAAGAAGACGAGCTTCAAATTACCTTGAAGAACCGAAGAAATTGAAAACCTACCAGAGGAGAGAGAAGAGAGCATTCCTAACTCCCCTCAGTGATGGTGATTCAGGGTGGGGAATTTCTTCACTTTTTACTAATTAGAGAAGTTTTATATAACTCATTTGGATTGGGGAGGTTTTCCCTCATTTTGTAATTTCGTACATCAGTGAAATTGTTTCTTATAAAAAAAATAAAAATTAAAAAAAAATCATAACCATCAAAGTTGATCGACAATATTTTCCATCTATTCTATTTAAAATACTAACCAAAATGACCCTAATTAAAGAAACTTCATATAAAGAATATTGTAAATTTTTTTTATATCCGTGAGTATCCAGAGCGTGCACCTCGACTAATCTAACGAGACAACCGCTTGACCCTACTACATTTGGTTGCCAAGGTAAATCGTAGGATATTAAATCCTAGGTAGGTGGCTATATAACTTGAATTCATTCCTTCTAAACTCTTTACAATCTTTACTATTTACATCGATCCTTATTGACCACTAGGTCAACCCATTATGGTTTAATCAAAGAACATTGTATTATGCAAACTGACAAACAAGAAAGATGACCAGAAGCCCTCCTTGAATAAAATTATAGGTTATTTGTAACAGTTATTTAGTTTGAATATAGATTGAAGGGGATAAGAAATAGTATACACATAACACTTATTTAAGAAAGGAAAGAAGAAAGTCTTCCGTTGTCAACAAACTACATGGTATCAAATACTACATGCCATGTAAAAGTTCATGAACATAAGCATCTAGTTCTTGTTTAGAATGAATGTCTATGTTAGATAATATCTACTAGAAAAGGGTTGATCATACTGCGCCTGAAGAGTCTCTTCCCCCACAAAGCAAAAACATGCCATCTGATCGTGCACTGGCCGTTGCATACCTATAAAAAAAGGGTGGGACACTGTAACTTCCCAAAATTTATAAAGATAGAGAACGCTGGAAATTTTATTCAGTGGTACACAGATAGCAAACTAACATTCTAGCAGATGGCCTATCACCTTCCGGGTTCAACCTCTGCCAGGCATATGGTTTCTGGGCAGTATCAAGAGCCCAAGCATCAGAAAGAACTCTTTTTCCTGATAAAGAACATAAAAAGTATCAAATAACCTTTTTTGTTAATTACCCAGGAGTCGGTGGCCCTTTGGCCTTTATGCCCCTATACCTGGGGTATGCGCACTATCTCCATACCCGTGCATATGCAAGGGATACGTTTGGTGGAGTTGCGTTTCATGTGCTTTGAATCCAAGACCTCAAAGATATTCCTTGAGGCCCCAAGCCACCAAGTTATCTCTCAGGGACAAAGTATCAAATAACCTTTATCTACCCAATTATCATAAATTGGCCTCAATTTAATAGATGAGAACACAACTATATTATGGCAAGATTTATAAACATTGAGAAAATCACAAGCACTTCATACTTCAAATCAATCCTACCACAAAGGAGGAAACGCAATTGGAAAAATATTTATATGCATCGATGCACACACAGATCTATAAGTACATAGAATGGCTTTTGTGCCTTTTCATTTCAGACTTGTCTTTTTGTCATTTTGTGTGGCCCCACTCCAACAAAAGTTGGTTTTCATTAAAAAGTATATAGATTGGGATTTCCTTGTTCTTGAAATTTAATTAATCCCTGGTATTTCAAACCAAGCATTAAAATAGATGCAAAGTCCAATAAAATAATAAACATATAACCAACTGTTCACTTGCACCTACCATCATTGCCGCTAACAGTCACCAGATATCTTTGAGCAACCAAGTCCATCACATGGCCATAGCGAGGTCCGGGTCCCTGTCCTTGTACCACCACTCTATATTCACATTTTTAGATAAGTTCCATTCCAAGGTTTCCCCTGCATCATAAGTACAAAGATCCGGAACTAACTTTACCTGTGCCACTTGAATTTATCATTTGTTAAATCAAGCACATAGAGATCGTCAGTGGAATGCCCAGCCGGACCAATGCCTCCCTAACCAAATAAACATAAACTCGTTAATACAAATATCGCTGTGAGAAACCATACAAGGAAGCCTCCAAAATTTTCAATTTTTGCCAACATTTTTTATCCAGTCACCTGGAAAACAACCATGGTACCAACTGCCGCTGCAGCATGTGCAGCCCTTGGTGACGGTGGCTCGCCAGCAGGTCTGATTCTAATATCCAAACATCCAAGCAATAACAGTAAGCACATCCAGATCAACTTCACAAGTGGAAGAACTGAAATACGTGTCACACACGTATATAAAGTAATACCTGGTCCATTTCCTGGTGAGAACATCATAGGAGTGCACGGAATTGGTCACACCCGCCAATCCTTCATGAATGCAATAGAATTATCACAAAACCAATTTAAGAATTCAAAAGTAGAGCCCACCTCGCGGTAAACTCATGTAATTACAATCGGCTATCTTCTTGTTCAAATAGGTACAAACGTAACGACAAACACTCAAAGCAGAAATAAAAATGATTAATTGGAGTAGAGAAGGTTGGAAGGCAACTTACTGATTCCAGGAGCAGCAGATGCGGCTCCACCCTCGATGGCTGTGGCGCCGCCGAAGAGAATGAGACGAGGGCCGCAGGATTTAGTGGCAGCAACGGCAGTAAGGGTGTGACCGCAGCGAGGCCCAGGAGCGTCGTCGTCGATATCCCAATATGTCTCCAGTGCCCGATAAGACGGAGCCGGGTACAGCCATGGTTTCGAACCCATTCTATAACCAGGCCGCCCCGAGTAGAAGTTTTAGATCTAACAAACGAAACCTAGCCAGAGACGATCGGAAGTTCCCAATTTCCAGAAAAATATATGAGAAAGGTGGAATCCAAGCAGTAGTGGTGGGTCCCGAGCCAGACTCCGGACCCTCGTTCCTAAATCTGCTTGTTTGGTTTTGTTTTTGTAATGAAGTAAAAAGAGGGTTTTGCGGGGGGCTTCGAGATCTTTGACTTCCGACCTTCAATTTCGAAATGGGTCTTCGACATTATCTGCTGAATCTCTTGGTTTTACTTCTACAACTTTCTTTCTTTTTTCTCTTTCTTTTTAGCAAATTTCTATTGTCCTTAAATTTTCAATTTTAAAAATCAAATCCTCAAACTTTCATAATTAAAAAAGTTTGGATCCCTAAATTACCAATGTTAAAGTTAATTTCACGAATAATTCATACATACCGGCCAATGTGAAGTTTGAACTTATTCCTTATACCTATAAACTTTCAATTATAAAAATTAAATTTTCGAGAAGGTGTTGTCAAGATAAAAATAAAAAAAATAGAGTAGGAAATATGAGTGAGATAATAAAATATATCAAATTTTTTAAGTTTAAGGCTTTAATTTTTACCCTCCATAGTTCAAGGGTTCTAATATTTTCATTTTATGAAAGTTGTGAGAGTTTAATTTTTGCAATCGAAAGTTTAGAGATGTAATTTGTGCAATTTCTT